CTATCTATCTATCTATCTATCTATCTATCTATCTATCTATCTATCTATCTATCTAACTATCCATTTGACACCTTTTAATTTAATGCCAGGTACTTTAAAAAATCAACTCCCTGACAAAGATATATTATTTCTTTGTAATTTGTTCCTACTCTACCAGTCATTATGGCGCTATCTGCGTTCTCCAGATGTAGGAGCTACCGGACCCTTGATCGTGAGATAGTGGGTTCGGGGGTTCGAGCCACATCTCGGTCCGACGTTTAGTCCTTGGGAAAGGCGTTTTACCCTGATTTCCCATTTGGCTCGGTCTTTTCATAGATGGACGTTAAACTTGGAGGTCCTGCCTATTACTTAATTTATAAGTGTTGATAGAGGCGTTAAGCCTATGTGTCACGACGCTCGTCAGTTTATGGGCATGTAGAGTTATTAGTATCATCTTAGAGGTTGTTTATTTGCCCATGCATTTGATAAAAAAATATCTATTTATCATAAATAGAAGTCGAGATATTTGCAGTTGAAGAAGGTGGGATCGCCTGGTTTCAGATGTAAAATTAGCGAGAAAATGGCCACTGAAGTTTGTTGACTTCCTCAGCTCATGAGTCCTTGAAATCTGCAAATTTACTTTTTTTTTGCCTTTAATCAACGTTTTTCCACAAAATCCACATATAAGAATGTTTTTGAATGAACATAAAAAACTGTTGAGCCAAAACATGAAAATTCGAGAAAAATTATTTTTAAGCTGGCCGGAAAATGACGATTTCTTCGATATCATTATTTTGGCGAGCGCCTAATTTCAATATGATGACTAATCTATACCATTTCTCCATTTCTCCAGATGTGGGCGTGATTCGTCCCTCCCGGCGCAAACCTTCCTTTATGGACAACCCGGAGTCTGTGTCGCATGAAGAGGGAGACACCGCTGTCCTCTTCTGCTCTGTGCTCAACCTAGGGGACCACACGGTTTGTTTGTCTGTTTGTTTGTTTGTTCTTCGGTCCGTTCGTTTGCTTCTTTGTTTGTTGTTGCTTTTTTGTTTTTTGTTCGTTGTTCGTTTTTATTGATATTCTGTTTAGTAGAACACAGAATGGTGTTTTTGGAAGTTCGGAACGAAAACTAAAATTTCATCAGAGGAATGACCCCTTCGAAATTCTGCCTTTGAATTATTTGTGTATACATGTATATCTGTTCTGTTCCAAACCAACAACAGCTGTCACAGATACTCGTATTTTGGGTTACGATGACACGCGAATGCCAAATGAAATGGAAACGTTTGAAACAAAGGACATTGTCAAAACAAAACATTGTTTTATTTAGGTTTTGTTGTTACTCTTTTCGTTGCTGATGCTGTGGTTGTACATGCCGTACGTTAAAAACATAAAACCGTTTTTGCTAATAACTTACGGTACGCTGCACCAATGTATTCCATATTTTGGCTCTAAACATGATTTAATGTGCCATTACAACGCGGGAAAAATATTGGCTTCCGGTTATGAATAAGCAAAGTTTTCCTTTTCTCTTTCTTAATTTACGAATTTTAAATTCCTGCCAATTTACAGAATAAATCCTCCCACGAGGGCACTGAGCCACATTTGAAACAAGGATGAGCGGAATAAAAAGAAACATTATTATAGATCTATTTACGAATCTCCTTTGTATCTGCTGTGAGCTAAGCAAAAGATATTAGTCAGACCATGAAACCAACTGGTTTTTAAACAGTTTTGTCAAAGTTTTACGGCCCTTGCAAAACAATTCGGTTATATAAGTACCCAATATAAAAGGTGCTAGATCTACTAGAGAGTGACACACAAAAAAAGAAGGAGATATACGGACAAAGGACGATTAAAAGAAAAGAATGAGCAAACCACACCAGAGCACTTGCCAACTACCCACTAAAGTGTTATGTTTATGATACTAACCAATATTGGTAGTAATGACTACGCTGAAAGAGTGCTAATTCTTTTAAGACCACTAGTATTATTAGTAAGGCAAAAAGACCCTTCATTCTAGGATAAAATGTCATTGGATATGCCTCTGCAACTTCGTAACTAAAACCTGGTGAATCATATTGTTGTTTTATAATCTAAAAGTTCAACTTAAAGAAAATTCTAAATTTTTCCTAAAATGCAATTTTATTCTTTAAACGAACGATCCACAGTTAGTTGTTGTTATTGAAACTTTGATTGTCCATTATAATATGCTACAAAGAAAAGTACTACTAATTCCCGTGTTGGGAGAAATGTTTCTGTCGAGTATGTCCGTCTCTCTGCTGGGACGTTGTATCCCCCCCAGTCCGTGTTTGCCTTTACAGGCAGGGTCGGAAGTCAGCCTCCTAAATGATATAAAGCCTGCGGGTGGGGGGGGGGGGGAGTGTAAAACACTTACGTTTGAACTTTTATCTTAAAAAATGAAGGACACTTACTGGCAGACACTTGCAGCAATTTGATTTTTCTTCTTTTCAGATTGACGCTTACAGTTGGCGACTAGTCTAGAACTGATTCAAAACGTGGCATTCTATGCTTTTAGTTGAAAGAGCCTTAATCCTTCTCACGTTTGCGTCTCATATCTGTTTCTCCCCCCACCCAACCCCACCCCCCCAATATTCTAAATATCTA